ATTTGCATAATGTTCCACTGATATATAAAGAACCACAAATTGGATTTTAATGAAACTTTTAAAGAGAACAATGCAGAAACCCAATTAGTATGCTTATTAATCACCTAATTAACATAATTAATTAACACTGATATCTCAATTACAGATCATCACATTTGAATAAAATTTGGTACATAAATGTTCTAGGACAATAGACAGGCCTGATTAATTTTGATTAATATTAATTCTCTAATTAGCATAATAATTCATAATTTTTTTGTTCTGTTCTGTTCATATTAGTTACCTGATTTACATAATTAGTTTTCAGCTTTTCCATCAATATCTCATGTACAAGTAATTTTGAATTAATTTTTAATGTGTCTTCAATACTCTCAGCACACGGGAGTTCTTTCTAAGCTTTCTTTGATTATTCTTCTGTTTCTATTTTGCTATGCAATGCAATGCAATGATTTTTTTCATAAGTGATTCTTTCAAATAAAGGGTTATATTTATATTTCTGCGTAATGGAAACTGTTGTACCATTTACACTTTATGCAAGAACGTTGTGAAAAACTGCTTTCAAACTTTCTCTTAGAGTTTTTTTTTTCAAATTTGTCTGGGTATACAATTTTAAAACTTACATCTTTTGATCTCTTTGTATTCATTTGTTTTCACATCGTGACATATTTTTGATCAATACAACTTTGAATATACAGTGGGTCTCACTAAGTCATACCACAATAAGTGTCAATGTTGCCCAAGTCGTGAGTAATTTGATGGTTCCCAAAATTCTATTGCCTGCAGCTTGGCTCAAGGTGTCATCTCAAAATTTACAGGTTTCTTGGCCAGTACTGCTCTTAGACTGATAAAACCCCTATAAAATTCACTGTAATGTAAACAATCAATCATTATGATCTTCAGTCTGAGTAAAAGTTATCTAGTCTGGCTGGACTTGATCAATCATATTTTTTGTACATTCATTCTGGTGACAACATTTTGTGGGCATTCAACGTTTGACATATCCATAGCAACATGGCGGAAAATCGATCATTGCTGCTTAAAACTACAGTATATTTATTATTATTTCTTCCATCTGATTTTTATTTCACAAAAACAGGTAAACTACTTTGCCAATTTGGCTGAACTTTTTGGATGGTGATTGGAACCAATTTGTTCTTGTGTTTCCGGAACTAGTTGGATGTTACAGGGTCTGTCCACCATCTTGTAATTTTCGAAAATTTGGCAACGATTTAAACAGTCATCTCCTAAACCACCGAAGCGACAGGCTCAAATTGTAACCATTAACTATATTCGCATTTACCACACGTTATTTGGGACTGCGTTGTAGCGCAATCGGGAGCTCATCTGCTTGCAGTGGCAAGTGAATCCTGCATTTTGTGTCTATGTTTTCGTGCATTTACAATCTTTATAGATATGAAATCCTTGAAATTATTCGTTAAGTTATTCCTGTAATTGTATAAAGTTAATTATATGTGTGAATGGTCATGTTCAATTGGGTTCGTACTGGTAGATTAGACCCTTGTTGGTATGTTACATATATTGCACTGATTTTGAAACCTACATCACCCAAAATATGCAAATGCACACTAATTATTATCAATCCATGTATTGCATTGATTTCTTGATTTCTTTCTTATTGTAAGTACTCATCCATTACATCACACTCCAACAATGGGCCACTTCTTACATAATATAAATTATTCAAAACAGGGGGAATAAAAAAAGAATATGCAAACTAAGAATAAGTGACCATCCCTTAATGATTGAGAAAGGCAGGCATATAAGGCCAAAGGTTAAAGTTGAACACAGGATCTATACAAGATGCAACACAGATTCAATTGTCAATTCAATTCAATATACATCTTTTAAGGACATTCGGTAGACTGATTCCCCACTGTTGTTTCAACTCCAAAACTTGTTTGTATTCAAAATTAATTATGACAATGCATATTTATATTGAAACAAACTATGATAAAGGGAATTATATTATATTACAAAGGGCAAGGTCACCAGAGTTCAACTATGTTTTATTTAGTTGTAGATTTGACTATGTTCTACTCAAAATGAATAATGTTATGAAAGTTATTATTATATTAAATTACTGTCGATACTCATTCATCATGTTCACATCGGTCACATTAAATTGAGTGTTCAAACAGTTTTGTTGGCAAATACATTATGTAAAATCATTTTAAAAATATTCAAAACACCCTTTAAAAAATCTGCAACTGTTGGCCATAATCCCAAACTGCAAAACTTCAAGACAGCAGGTACAGTGAGTTGAGTGTGACACGATTACTAACACTAGAGTGAATTCATAAACCAGGTGAGATCTTGACTTTTGAGTGGTCAGAGAGTAAAACATTGCTTCAATTATAGCAAACAGTGTATAAGTAGCTAACACCATAGGACATCAGTGATTGGTTTTGGGCTACGTCTTTGCGTCTCTCACTGATCTCCTCGCTTTCCGTGGTGTATCCCACACTTGCAGATATCATGTCTTTTCTATGTTGATATCTGTGATGCTTAAAACGCGTGACCGTTGCGGGCGTTCTTCGTTCGACAATCGACGTTGTGAATACATCTGTTACCGAATGCCATGGGACAAACTTATCGATCAGATAAAACAAATACATATTTTAACTCTCATTGTAAATACGGAACACTTGTAAGTAAAACGAAGATTATTCATTTGTATAGTAGATCTCAACAAATGCAGTGTCTTATATTAAAGTGGGTGTGTGTCATATCTGAATGAAATTATCGTGACAGTATTTTCTATCAAATCAAATAGAACTGAATAGAACTACAAAGTAACTTACACTGTCGGACATAAAACGAAATGGAATTTATATCGATGAGTTTTAAATAGTTAAACTATTCGATTACTTGGTCTGTTTTTCAGATTCTGACTGTATTATATAACTATAAAGTCCGTCAAAGTTTTTGAATAATTTTAAATTAGTTGTCTTGCACTGCAGCGGCGGCGACAGTTTTTTTTTACTGTGGGAGGCGAAGATTTTATGTGAATGTCAACAAATCGAGCGCCGAAGTCGCTAGGAGCCCCGTGAAAATTTTTGAAATCTAGACCTCCTGAAACGCCTTTTCCTGCACTTTGGGATGTACATTTCTACCGACATTTGCGGTGGATTTTAGTGACAAATATAGATGAGTGTTTCACCTTAATTTATCGTGGGGGCGCCCTCACTGCCCCCACGGTACCGCCGCCACTGCCCCCACGGTGCCGCCGCCACTGCCCCCACGGTGCCGCCGCCACTGCCCCCACGGTGCCGCCGCCACTGCACTATAATTTGAAATCATACGAATGACAGAGCAGTGAATTTGAATGGGTGAGAATAATACTTAAACTGATTCCTGGGTATGGTGTCCACACTGTTCCTATTCACTGAGATACCATGATGGTTTCATTACCAACAGCCTGGGAAAATTCATCAACGATAATCTAACAGAAAACAAAAATTAAACTTTTAATATTTATCATTTTTTCTAACATTTATTTTATATTTTTACAGTGTTTGTTTATTTGTTATTTTGTTTATAAAGTAATGTATATTGGCCATAGATGATGTATTTTCCATGCCTTATTTTGTGTCAAATAAAATATACTATACCATAATACAGGGTCATTTTGTTCTTCACCTCATGCAGTCTGCATTTAAAGTTACCAGTATACATACATACATACATACATACATACATACATACATACATACATACATACATACATACATACATACATACATACACTAATTGCGTATTCAAGGTAATCTATTACACTGTTGAGTCATACAGCTGAACCAACCGACCGCTGCGAATATCGTATAACTAGTCAGCAGGCCACTGATTGATTCCCGTAAAGGAGCTCGAAACATTAGAACCTTCATTTGAATGCAATCCCCTATCGACAGGAGGATGTGATGCTTTCGTTTTTAGTGTAGGGTGTAGTTCTTCATTATTAACCTCGGTCACAACGTTGGGATTCATGTTTTTTGTGACAGATACCGGTGACCGTAAGTTCTGGGGAGATGTCAGTTTGACATTTCTAGAGAAAGAAAGACTGAAATATTTCCACCCGCTTCGGAAACGTTTAAGCTGAACTACACGTTCGAGCTGACAACTTGATTACGCATAGGCCGTGGCAGTGACCCCTTGGCAAGAACCGGTTGTTCATAACCGAAGATAAAATAACGTGTTTTTTTCGCTCTTCTTGATTTGAATAAACATGTAGGTGTCCCTAGATAATAAAACAACTTATGGTCGTTATCACTGTTATCAGTTTGTGAGTTAGTTCTGGTCAGTTACCGACATTTGTTATCAGACTTACGCAAGCTAGTTAAGAAGGGTAGAACAACATTTTGTAGCAAATTATTTCATAGAATTATATTTTATATTCCGAGTCCTTAAACAATATAACAAGCTAACACGTGTTTGTCCTAAAAAATAATGTGATATATGAAAAGTAGATATTATTATAACCAATAAAACTAACCAGCAAGCACAAATAAAGCCGCCTTACTAAGTGAATATTTATTGTTTACAAAATTATAACAGACTCGCTTAAATCCATATTCTACCCATCCACAATCTCGACATTTTTTTGGTGTATATTAAAATTGGTCCAGGGTCACGTGGTACTTCGCAAATTTACAAAGTGAGAATAGTAATGTGGAACAAAGTAATTTACCGTTGGTGGCGCCCGACTCTTTAATGTTAAAACCTGACAGGTTGATATGTCAATGAGATGTTTTGAAAGGGTTTATTTATACACAATATAATTCAAAAATACGAATCGATTGATTATGCCATTAAACTTAATGTTATCTACTGGTTGTAATATAGATTTTCAAGCGGGGAGTGTCGTCAACGATATGAAAAATCCAATGAAGTTGGAGAGAAGATTAAAACTAAATTCCTAGTTTTACAACGCTGGCTGCACTAATTACTTTCTAATTTGTTTTAACATCCTGTCGGTAGGTAGAAGCATACTAGTAAATAAAAATACTCAGAATGTATTATATTACAATAAATTGTACTCCCGGTCAATATAAGAATATTGATGTAAAAACAAGTTTGGGTCATCAGCCAATTTTTCGAGAAAATGATGGCTGTAATTTATTGTAAAAAAAGAACGAAATGTTACATTTTAACACACGCTAAAATATTATGATGATTCGTGTTACCAAGAAACTAAAATTCTATGATTGTACATAATTAAACATTGTCATGCGATTTATGATCAAATTTCTAAAAAAAAATGTATAAGTATATAAAATATATGAAATATAATAAGTAGATTTCTACTCTAAATCCCCTAAATAATATAATATTCCCTGCTCTCGAAATAATTGCATTGTTTTTGTTGTTTTCTTGACATATATTGGTTATTGATGTGATATAGTATAGTAGTGTGAGTGAAAATCCCACTCGTAATAATGACATTAATTAACTGCTTACGTCATGAGTATGACCTATCACTTTCCTCATGTTCGATTTCACTAAACATATAAATTAATCAAATGGCATACCATTCAATCAACGGTAATTAATAATAATCATGCTGTCTCGAATTCAAGACGGCTGCTGGCATGATCACGCGTTGTATTCCCACGCTCAACGCCATAAACTTCTTGCTTTTAAATTAACAATATTTTATTAATAATCTATTTAACATACTTGTAATTGGCTAAATTTGTCACGATTGTCACACTAGCCTAAATATGACACATGATATACGTGACTGTGTGAGCGTATACTTGACAGTAGCAGGTGCGGTGTCGAGACATTGTAATTTTTTTTTTTACGTTCTGCTACCGATAGTTAAAAATGTCTGGGTAATTTAGTTTTAATTTTATTCTTGTCAGGGGGTCATAAATAGATTAAATATTATAACAGTTTTTTTTTTTGTCAAAGGCGGGCTGCGCAAAACACCGGACACACACGAGGCACCTGGCTGAATGTCCGACTAAACGTGTAATTCGCTTGGTAAACCATGGCCTTCTCGTCCATAAGGCGATGCAATCGTGTTTTCGTAATTACTATTTATTAGGGGTTGAAAACGACATGCAGTGTATTACCTGAAATTTATTTCATTCCTTTGTTGATTCCTACAATCCAAGTCAGTTGATTTCAAGTTCATTTTCGTTTATTTACTTTTCCACATTTCAAGTACCGGTATACACCAAGTCGATACATCAAGTCGAGTTGCGATACACGAAAAATCACATTATTATACGTTGCATCTTATCATCTGTTTTTCATCTACTCGACGTCATCTTCTATCACTGACGTCACTCTGTGTGCGGATTTTACGTCACGGGCGTCGTTTTTCTTCAAATTACTCATTATTGGTTTGACGAAACATCCTCTTTTATTTATTCCACGTTTTAATTAAAATGCCCCATTTCTCCAATGACATGTTTCCACCGGTGAAGAATGAGTCTGGTGTTCATGTCACTGGCGATAATAACGTGACTCGTTTGAAATGTAGTGATTTCCACATGCTTACGGTGCATAACCCTAATCTCTTCGTCTTTTCAATACTTCTATGTAGTACATTTCCTAAACACAATCAGTGGATAACACGTAATGATTGTCTGTATTTTAGTAAGAGTTTCGTGTGCGTGTAATATCAAGTTAATGAAGACGATTTGTAAATTAGGCAAATTCAACAAAACGACTGACAAAACTTAGATGATATTTATAATGTTTCGCTAAACTGTTTCCGCTAAAATTGAGTGGCAGATTTGTTTTAACTGGAACAACATTTCATGGAAGAGCCTTAACCGAGGTTCATTTCGCACGTGACGAATGGTTCACGGTTGATTAAATCGTCACGCACGAGGAATACCACTTGTAACTAAATCCTAGGATATATTCAAGTGCTTCCACCCGTACTTTGTTACAAAATGTATGTGCTAATTGTAAACGATAATTGTTTCCACGCAATGTGGTTTCCACCTTACC